TTTTCATAAAGCATTGCATTTTTGGAGAACGCCCCGCCCATCGGGGGTGGGACTCCCCAGTTCGATCTAACTTACCAATGCACACCTCAAGCCACCTTTAAACCCCAATTTCGAGGCCGTCTTGTGGCTGAATTTGAAATCATGGTCCTCGGTAGGGCTCATTTCGAGGCACGCCACGCCCACTGTGGGCGGGGCTCCGCCAAGCTGATGTGTGTTTTATACTTCTCGAGACCTGGCCCACCCATCCCACACTTGACCCGGTCTCTCCAGGCAGATCTAAAGGAGTTAAGGAATTTCGTGACAGACATACAGACAGACAGACAGACAGACAGACAGACAGACAGACAGCCAGACGGACAGACAGACTAAGCGCTTTATAGTAAGTAGGATTCATTGAGTACAACCTCAAAAAAGCCATCGAAAGCATAACCTAACAAATCGAACAGAATTGTTCTCTGTTGGTAGAGAACAAGCCCCAGCTGTAGACCAAGCTCGTAACTTTTCAGTAAAGCTCACTAACATAACTATGTTATCGCGTGAAGGGTCTTCATTGGCCCAATCGCGAGTATGATAACGAGGAAGAGAATGGGGCTCGGAACTGGTCCTTTAACAGGCACCCTGACTACAACGTGCACTGGTTTTGTCAAGCGGTTAAGGTTTGGTATAGCTCTGCCCTAGACCTATCCTTCCTGAGGATACAAGGTGACCTCGAATAATTTTTCGAGTAATTAACGTGGCGTGTAATGGAACTTCTCCCCAGTTGTGGACGTTCGCTTTGCGGCATGCGGCAAATCTTTGTTAGTTGCCTCGCAGCTCCAAACTGGAACTACCGTACTCGGTCCGCCTCCCGCCAATCGGTAGGACGCAATACTTTTCATTTACTGTCTTTCTTTTTGTTTGAATTTGATTGTTTTTTCTTTTTCTTTTTCGTTTTCATGTTTATTGGACTTGATTGTTTGGAATGACTACTCCTCTATTATAGATGATCAAGACCGCATTGGAATTGAAGGGAGCGGCCAGCGAGTTCAAATAATTAAAGGGCTCCCAAACTCACAAATTGTGCGCTTCTATCTTCCATCGCAATTCTGCGATAAGCGGCGGGTGTGGCGAGCGCGATGCCGTGTTCGGGGGGGGGGGGGGGGGGTAGATACCGGACCCATGTCCTTTCTGTCTCAAGCAACTCACCGACCGTACCATTTCATGTTGGACGCACCCAACCTAAGCTTACAGTTATCAGGACATTTCACAATGTCTCATTTTTTTGTTTCTTTTTTTTTCTGAAAAGAGCGATAGTCTTGCACCTACCCGCATCAGGTACACCTCTATCAGCGACTTCAATGTTAAAGGCAAAGTTAAAAAAAGAGTGGTTTCTGGGGTTTCACGCTAGGGTAAATCTGTGGCCCCCCAAAATAGTGCATGGGTTGTTGTCGGGCCGAAAAACGGCCTAGACAGGGCGTAACAATTGCTCCGAAACCGGTTTGTTCGACGCAGACTCTCAAAGCGGCTCTGTTATGCCGGCCTTATTATTACTGCACTATTCACAAGACGAGAAGAATAGTGAGTTTAAATGAGAGGCACCCAGTCGGTCATCCCGTACCATCGTGAACTGTGCCTCTAGAGAAGAGGGTAAGCCACCTCACCTGATTACATGCTCTCTGAGTACATCCCACGTCTGGATCGGTATCCCATCAGCTGCCTTTTAAACCTAAATTTAGCTAGTACTGACGAACTTTACCCCTGCATAGAGCGCAATAGGAACAATCTTCTTTACGGAAGGGTGCTTCGTCTTGGAGCCCGTTGGATATTCTTGCTTTTCGCGCCACCTGCAATTGACTTCCGGTTGACTTCCCTGGAGTGATCTCGCGCTGCTCTTCATGGCCCGCACTGCACTGATGTTACAAATAGCTCGTTGCAGGGTTTTATGAGGCTGAGAGGCAAACGTTTCCTTTCTCCACTGTCGAGCTGTTCATACAAGGCATCCTCCTCCATTTCCTCAGCTTTAGTTAACCGCTAGCGTGGCCATGTTCTTGACAGTTCACAAAATGCTAGATATACTGTGGTTCACGCCTGCAGCCAGCGTGCGTACGCGGCCTTTTTATGCTTCCCAATTCGCTGGACTCCATCCTTACTGTTGCGTTTTTTCCTCCGAATTCTCTTCCCATCAGCATTTCATTCACCTTTCTTCCCACATGGAGAATCCATCTTTACTTTGAGCTAGACTTCCTGAGCTCGTTTCCGAGACAGGAAGACAATCTTCCAGTTTATTTTTCTTGAAGTCCCCTCTCTTGTTGCTGTCGGTCATTTTCTGAGGCCTTTCATTTTTGTGTGCGAAGAAGGCCCTATAGACTGCAAGATGAGCGTTTTAGTCAGATCTTCCTTCTCACCCCCGATTCTTTTCCATCACTTGCCGTGAACTTCTAAGATCTATTACTTCATTGCCAACAACGGTGCGTGCTTTTTGGAATCATCACCATCTAGAATCGGCTTAGTGACATAGTCGATTCTCGAAGAGAGCTTATACTTGTCGTACTCTGCAGCGGCTTGGAGCGTCTACTCGAATATCATCCATTAACGCCCCTACATGCTTCCCTCTTATAATTAGAAAGGATTCGTTAGTTGATTCTGTCAACGGCAGAGACAGGATGTCTGAGTTAAATGCATATATTGCTAATTGCTACGTCCACGCTATTATTTTTAGTGTCTTATACATTGTGGTGGAAGTGACATCTTCCTGAATTGATTTGTTTCAGGCGCTGAAGACGTGGCTTGAAATTTGGACAGGCCACACTTACTATATAAAGTGGGAGGTAAACGAAAGGTATATGAGGAAGAGTCATAGTGAATGGGATGATTAAGATATGCTTAATGAGGGACTGCGTAAGCAATCGAAAGGTGAGGTGTGAACAAAGGGGTGCAGAGGAAACCAAGTGATTTCTCGGTGGGCCCTGGAGAACACCCATGAACCCTGGATCTTATTCCATTACCTGAAGGATAGCGCACCATGCAGTTGAAAACGGCGAAGCCAGCTATCTAGAGATCCCAATGCTAATCTGAGCCTTCTGGAAGGGAAAATTTTGGAGGTTCGTGAAAAATGCTGACTTCCCAAAATGAAGAGCTAACGCGAATTTCGCGACTTGCTTCTGAGTGGTTTGAGGGAATATGCTCAGAAAAGGTTCAACAATTATTTTTGGGACATCATTGGGTTGATAGGTCCTGTATTAATTGAGGAGAAGCAATCTTAAATAGTTCAACACATACAATATCAATAGGGCGGAGGTGGTGTAGTGACAAGTGACGCATTATCACACAAGCATAATCATTGGTTCGGATCCCGGATTGTTACCCACCTAGACCTACCGAGGTTTCCATCCCTTCGGGGTCGGATAATTGGTACTAGACTCGTCTGAGAGATTAAAGCATTGACTTGTACATTGGCAGGCCATTAGAAGTCAGTGTTAAAGCCACATACGGCCATGCATCGATTACGTCGCTACGATCCTGAATGG